TGATAAACGAACATATTTGTCTTAATACCGTCTACATGCTTAAAATGAATCTTAATTAGTAAGAAACATTAGAACATTTGCATTTTGTGAATTTCCAAATTAAGAATCTCTACATTTTTTTCTGAAAAACTCTGGCGTTAATTCTGCATGTACGTTCTACCATGAGTGAAACAAAACCACACAGTTGTTAGTTATTTCTAAATATCCAGTTCCCTTTTAAACTCTAAGTTGAGTCAGTTATCAAGAGACTCTGGCACAAAAGTAAATACAAATATTAAACTATGGGTTATAAACATGGCTTAGAGCCAGGGGACCACATTTCTAAGTAAATAGAAAAATAGCTAATGATACTACAGTACTTTTGTGGAAGAAGTTTAAAAATAAAGGGTCAGTTAAGAAAATTATTTTTTGAAAAGATTAATAGCATACTGATTATTTACAAAAGAAAAAAAAATATCTCAACTGAAAAGTAAATGTCCCTGAGAATTGAAGCTGAGCCTTCACGCCTTCAGATCTTCATCCTTTGTCTTGCACGTATTTGCACGGGATAGTAAAAGTACCATTCTGAAGATTAATTATCTCATTGGACTAGTCACTTATTTTCTGGCCATGCTAATTATAATCTTAAACCTATAGTCTTTTAATATTCCCTGAATTTCTGAAGTTTCTCACCGAGTTATTCAAACCAGGCTTGCCCAGCCTCACACGTCTCCTGCCGTCATCACCCCAATAGATTACTACTCCTAATTCTCCTTCTCTCAGAAATACAGTGAAACAGGGGCATGAAAATGTGTCTAAAAATTGCCTCAGAATTTTTTTTTTTCCATTTCAGTTATTTTTATTTGGGCAAGTGTATGTGTGTTCTGTAACTTATTTCACTTGCAAACATAAACAGTAAGGTCTTTTCTCTCCACACAGGCCGATCCCTGGGTCTGGTCACAACATGCCACCACAGGGGGGGCAAATGACAGTCTCATATCTTGTTCCACAGTCCTTCCGAGCAGGAGGCAAAGCTTCAGGAAAAGGACCACCAGGTGGGGTTTCCTCCTCCAGCTGCTTAACCTCTCGCTGCCAGCTTTCCCTCCGTGGCTTCTTCCACTGTTCTCTCTTGGCAAAGTAATCAGGATACATGGCCTTCTCAGAAGGATGCCAGTCATCTAAGCCCCACTTGGAACCCTGTAGCACTCGTATCGCTCATAGGAGGTACCCCAGGAGAGTCAGGAACGATATACGGCTGCGGATGCTGACGATACCGAAATTCTTCCTCTGCCTCCCTCAGCAGCTGGGTGGCCTTCCTCATCTCTGTTTCGTGCCTATGTTCTTCAAACCCGGCTCTCATCAAACAAGCAAAGTACCGGTATTTGTCCCTGTGGATGCACCACGACTCCAGGTGGCGCAGCGCCCGCTTGCAAAGCCCCGACACCTCCTGCTGATGGGTCAGGTAGGCCGGCCGCGGGGACCACCCGGACAGCCTCGGAATTTTAACAGAGACTTTCTAGAAACTGCTTAACATCATTCCAAAATACAAGAAATCTGGGTTCATTTGGAGAGAAAATTGGGGATAGGAAAATATTTTCTTAGCAGTCTTCTTACTTTAACATGAAGATATGCAGAAGCTAAATCCCCCCTTCTGAAGAGAATTTTTTATTCTCTAAAAAATACAAAAAGATAGAAAATGAAAAGACTGTTAAGCATCAGACTAACCAAGAGAAACATAACGGGCAATTTAATTTTCATTCACTTACAAATACACATCTCACAATTAAAAAAAGAAAATTGTCTAAAATACAGAGTGGCTGTAAAGTTTGTGTGCAACTTGAAATAGTGTCCAAGAACTTTATGGCTGCCCTGTATATAATTATATGGGCATTTCTAATAAAATTCAAATAAAAATTGCAATGTAAGTATCAACTGTCCCCTCATCTCCAAAATAAGCCCATTTCTCCAAAAATACCCACTTGAATTAGTGAAAAGTATAGAATTGGCTGAAGATTTCACAGGGACCCGGAGGAGACAGTTTACATCATAGTATACACAATAGTCCCCATCTTTGACTTGTCCCCTCTTACAAGTTCCTGCACCCTCACAGCTCCCATGGCAAAGGAGCCCTGTTTCCTACCTCTCCTCATGTTACACCAGGTCTCCGTAATTTATATCTAACTCCACTCCGATTTCCTAACTATTTACTCAAAATTTCTCAGTTCTTTCACATGCAGTTTCTAGTTACAGACTTGGACATGAAGATCCATATACATCTCCACGCCGTAGGGATCAAGTTAGATTAAATTAACTTTAAGGGTCCTTCTGACTTGAACGTTCCATGATTCCTTGTTACCAAGATGACAGTCATAGAGCAAGAAAAGGGTTTGACAGGTAGGAAAGAACACATCAAGGTTGACAGGCGGCGTCCAAGTTTGAGAGTACATTCATTCCTAAGGCACTTGTGCTACTCAAGAATTGCTCTCTAGCTAATTCAGCTTAATGTTTCCAAGAAATGAAAACTTCACTTAAACTTGTCTAAACTGTAGGGATAAAATGACAGTCTCATATCTTTTTATCGAGTTTTTTAAATGCAAGAAAAATATAGATAATGTCTGCAATCCACACTTGTCCACTCTTCCTAAATTAACAAACAGAATCCATGAACATATAGGTTGAAATTAATAAACAGTAGCTTGTATCTCATAAAGATACCTACAGGGGGAATTCAAACAAATGAGTGCACTGCTGAGTCCATTCATAGTCTATATTTTTTCAAATGCAATTCAAGAGATTTAATACACAAAAATAATTTAAAGTTATAAAAATGAAAGTTTTAAACTTCTTGTAACCAACAAAGGTTGTATAGCTAAAATATTCCTATGTTAAAATGTTAGTGGACCAAGTTTGGAATGTTTGCCTTCAAAGGCAAATTGTTTTTCTCTTCGATGTCTGCTAAACCTTTAGTATTTATGAGATGCTTGGTGACATTCCAGTACTAGTTCTGAGCTGATGCTTCCCTGGCCTGTTACCTAGAACCTTGAAGTTTAAGTCTTGGAATTCTTAAGAGTTTTTCAAGCAACTACACATGTGCTAACAGCAAGACATGGATTATTTGATCAAGAAAACACCTGTAACAATTAAGGATTATATCAAATAGGTAATTGGCATATGTGCATCTTTTTTAAACAAAAATTCTCTTGCAGCCTAATTATAATAAATTGTATAATATAAATCTTTCAAGATAATTTTAAAATATTGGGTATATAAGCATTGAATTGTTCAAAATTAGTTTTTCGTTATCTAGACATTAAAGAGAATAAAATTCTTTTGTTAGAATAATATACATGAGTTTGAAGGTTTGGTTTGCAAAAATAGTTTATTTAATGATAATGTGTTGCAATGAAACCATACATTCAAATAAATGAAGAATAATTTCCGTAGCATATTATACTGATAATTGCACTGTCCTTCAAAAATGTTTCTGATTCAGTTATAACATATCCATTACATAAAACACCACAGCTAAATTACTAGGTAAAATACATACGATAAATTTTTCAATTCAATTTTAATTTTTATATTTACATATTTATTTATTCATGCCTTAAAATTATACAAATTAGCTTCTTCACATTTCAAGTCTTGAAGGCAAATGACTGTATTGATGAGTCCAAACTTCTCTCTGCAGGTACATGGAAAACTGGCCCAAAATGCAGATCTGGAATGGTGCAGCCAAAGGCAAACATGGCCCTGGCAGCAGCACACATTCTATTTATTCTAGAACAACAGCCTTCTTGCTGACAGGGCATGATCCACGAAAGAACATTCCATGCTTAATTTAAGTAGTGCCACGTAGGTTTTCATTCCTGCTTACAATGTATTGAGCATCCACTATATACCAAGCATTTACTAGACTCTGAGGAAACAGAGAGGCAATAAAACACAGTCTCTGACTTCATGGAGTCCACAGTCTAACAGGGAGACAGACACATAGGAAGATAATTAAAATTACTCCACTGTAAGTTTATGTATGGGGAATTCCTGGGGTAGTAATGAAACAACAGAGGAGAAGCTCTAAATTCAAGGGCGATCTTGTGTATAAAATAAGGTGTGTGGGCTGTGACCACTTCATTTATAGGTCCACAGACTTCAAGCTTCAAATTTGCATTCTCTGGGTTTATTTTTGCTTACGAAGGAACTTTACCCGGAGAAAAGTATTGAATGGTCAGAAGAGTGAGAGGAGGAAGGCATCGATGAAGATGGGTAATTTCCAAATGTCTGATGAAAGACCAAAGCAAAGAATTAGGTCCCAACTTCATAGATGATGGAATTTCTGCAGAACCTCAAGAAAGAAAAGAAAAGCAGATTGGCATACAGAGAACGAAAAGCAGAATTAGCAACTATCTATGTTTCCAGGAAAAGCTAACTATGGAAAAATGGTCATTTTAATATCTCAAGCCCCAAAGAAAGATACTATCCTTGTAGAACCCACAAAACTGGTGTGGGGGAGTAGTCTACCTAAGGTGGTCGATAAAGTCAGTATACCACCTAAGTATTGAGGGATGAAACAGTGTTTGTTCCTTGATTCAAACAGTATTTATTTAATTCCATCTGCCTGTGAGCCTCAGAGGGCTTTCCCAGAACCTGCCACTCGCGCTGAGGATTTGTGAAAAAAGAACATAGACTTCCAAGCAGAGAAACAGCATGTGCAAATGGCCAGGGCAAGAAAGAGCTTGAAAGAAATGGAGAAAGGCTAGACAAAGGGCCAGAGGGAAGCACAGTGTGGGATGAAATGTGGGAACAGCAGGCAGCTTTGTGTGTGATCCAGCCAGTCTTCTGGTCTTCACCCTAAAAGCACTGAGAAGATAACATGAGGGTGGGGTTCCCCATGCACAAAGGATGGAGTCAAGTGGGGAAGAGAGAAGAAGTAGGCCAGGGTTGGGGGCTGGTTCTCCCCAGCACAAAATTCAAAGGAGTTGAAAGCAGCAGGGTTTGGCAGATTGAAAGTGAGGAAGCAGAGGTGTCAAAGGGATTTCTAGCTTTCTGTCTTGTCCAATTCAATGATGTCTAAGAAGCTTCGGGCAAAGACCAGAGCCATGTGAGAAGACAGACAGTCTGACTTGGAGACGTGGAATGTAAGGCATCTTTGAGACATTTCAGAAAAGATGTCAAACAGGTCTTAGAGACTTGTGGACCTAGAGGTCAGGGGTGAGGTCTAAACTTGGAATTCTTCACGAGCCTTTCAACCAAGGCAGGGTCAAGTCTCCTGGGGAGAGAGCAAAGAGAGAAAAGAAGAGGCCCAGGCTGGAGTGTCAAGAAAGATCAAAGAACAGGGGACCAGAAAAGAGGGGGAAACCAAGGCAGTGTTATGCCCAGGAACACACTGGAAAAGAGTGTTTAAACCACAACAGGTCAGGAACGTCAATTATTACTGAGCAAGATAATAGAGGAAATCAAAAAACTATCTCTTGCATGGAGGATACTAACATCCTCGATAGAGCTGTTTTTGTAAAATGATGAGAACAAAAATCAGACTGGAGTGGCTAGAGAAGTCACTGGGAGGTGAAGAATTAAAAACTCCAGTATAGATAACTTCTCTAAGGAATCTGGATTCAAAGGGCGAGTGCTGAAGAGTATTGGGGATCCATAGAAAGCTTTGCTTGTGAGTATTCAGAAGCCAGTGAGAAGGGTTCCCCTGAGAGGCAGATATTAAATATGCGAGAGAGTTGATGAATTTTTGAGACTGCTGAAGAAATAAGATCCAAGGCACATGTAAGGAGCAGCTTAATCAGTGAAACTGATGAAGGAGGAGATGGTGGGATCTGTTCATTTTGTATCAGGAAGACAGAGGTGCCCACCAGGTGACCTATATTTTCTCTGTAAAGTAGGAGTTGCTAAGAATGAAAGGCTTGGAGGTGGACATCTGTGGGAGATAGAGAAGGTTGAAGTGGTCATAAAGAATGTGAGAGTGTCCTGAACAGACTCGTTGCCTTAGGCTAAGTTGAAAAGTTTTTAAAAAAATCCATCGGTGGCATTCATCTCCCTCTCAATAATTCCTCCCTCCCATTCCACTGTCCTCTGCCTCCCTTAATCACCTGTCTCAGACTTCCAACCAGGACTCATCACATAGGCGCTTCATGTTCCCCATGAGTACACAGCCTCTGGGATCCATGCACCACCTCTTTATACAACCCACACCAAATCTTCCAATTCTTAATTTATTGGCAAATTCAGATAGAGTTAAAAATCACCATCTTATTAAACTAACACCACAAAACCTGACAGTCTCTCCTTATTTCCAACTAATTCTCTCAATCTCAACACTTTGTTTTCTCCCCAGACCACATCTAACCTCCCTGGACATGAAGGCATTTTAGAAAGGACTGCCCTGGTGTCCATGAATTCCAAAGGTATGGGACCTCAGGTGACAACATGGAGAGAGCAACATGAAGCAGTGGCTTCACGGTTCTTCAGATCTCACCACATAGGTCCTTTTCCCCTGGAACAAATGGTTAACTGACCCAAATAGCCATTTGGAACTGTGGTGTATGAATGTCGGAATCTCTACTTAGCTGTTCAGAAACGATCTCTTTTTTCTTTTGTGGATCAGTGAGGCTGTAGTATCAACATTTCCTTACAACTGAAATGCTGCCATTTTGGTTCTGTCCCCAGTATAAGTTTCTTGAAAGCACAAACCATGTCTCACACTCATGAAATCTAACACCAGACCTTGCACCTGCCTTAGAAGTGGGGGCCCTTCAAAACTTCCACTATCAGTTTAATTTTGCTGATCCAGAAGTGTCTGCACCCACGTGGTAGGCAGCCAAAACCTGATGCCTCTTGTCTTCCCACATTCTTCTCTTCTTGTCAGAATGCAATCCAGGAATTAGTGTCCTTAGAAGGATAAAATGGAGGGAAATAGGTTAACAAACCTGCCTTACTTCAATCCTGACCAACTGAAGAGGTAACAAACATTCTCACTACTAGCCATACTGAGGTCTATTTGTATAGCCCAGGGATATACTCCAGTGGCCCAGAGCCACATTCTTGGCCCAGGATGTTACTTGATGCTTAGAGTGTAATGTACGGCTGCCACTTCTTTGCCCACCTCACTCAAATCCAAGTACCAGCCCAGTATGAATTCTAATTTACATTTTCTTATATTTCATTTAAGTAAGGAAGCAAGGGGATGCTGAAGGAGTTCCAGTATGATGATCTTTCCATGACTCGCTCGCCCTAGGAAGCAATGCTATTTGCTGCAGAGAAACTTGCTGGTGGCCCTCTTACCACATGGGTGCAGTTGCTGCTTGATCAGCCGAGTCCAACTGACAGCCACAAGTCAATCCATCCAGTGGCTATTACTCGGTTTACTCTCACCGCATCACCAAATTGTGCACCACCCTGGTAAATGGCAGCTGTGAGATGTGGCAAGAACAGGGAGGGGGTTATTGGTGACACTCCTTTACTCAACTGGAAAAATCTGCTGTAGTTAGACATTAACACAGGTACTCTTCTTTTTAAATTAAAACATATGTTATTATAGGAAAAGGTAGTTAAATGATGAGATTTCATGTTATTTCTAATGCTCTTTGTCATCTATACCCTGGGATGTGTCTATCTGATGCATGCATGGATTGTAGGCTCTTCTTTTTGCAGCCATGATCATCAAGGAAAAATTTCTATACCCTGTGAATCCAACTCA